GAATATGGCCAGTCCATTTATATACTTCTGTGGCATTTTATTTAGGAGGCAAGCCATGTTAAGATTGTGAGCAACACTCACCAAGGATTGGGCTTCCATCCTCAACTCAACTCTAATGTGATTTCCAGAATAATCTCTGCCTCAGTTGCATCTCCTGTAAAATGAGCAAGCTGAACTATCTCTAAGGACGCATTCAGTTACAATACTTTATGACTTAGAGTATACACATTAACTCTTAAAATTCAGAGGATTATAATTTTTATGGAATATGGTTGGTAACAGAAAATCTGTATAGATTGTGTAAAGGATTTTTAAACATGTTTGGGAGGGAGGGTTAAGGGGGTGTTGATTAAAGGTAGTTCAATTATGTAACACTAAACAAGACACTAGGCTAAGAACTGAAAGAAGAGTCATGACTTAATTTTGCCAAAGAAAGAATCTCTTCCTTAAACTACCAAATATTGATTACTCCTTTACCATTTTTGTCTGCTTAGGGGAAAAGCATTTAGTAGTATCTCTGGAATCCATGGGGTAGATGATCCTGTTTTGACCAATCAGAACTTATCTTTGACAAATACATACATTTTTATGGTTTTGTAGGTTATAAAGAACTTAACAGGTCACAGGTTCTCTATTGGACTTTGGAGTAGAAGCAGGTTCCAGCATAGTTCTGACCTACCTACCCACGTATATTTATTTCTCTCTCATCACTCACTGATCTGCTGATATTCCTCCCCTCTGACCTTGAGACACATACTTTAAACTCTATTGAAGAATTTGTGCTACTACAGCTTTATAGAATAATTCAATATAGATATTGAATATTTTCTACTGAATTCCAACAAACTCAGATTTCATACAAAGGCATTAATCTACATGTGAAATACTAAGATAAATTTCTCAGGATGGTTTATTTATCAGCTCCCCTAAAAAATACAGAAGCATTGACTTGAAAATGCATTTTTTTTTTTTACCACTTTTCACACCTTAACTAGGTTCTAAGGCCTATGAATCTTAAGTTACCTGATAAGAGGGAGAGAGAATATTCCCATCAAATTATCAATAGCTTAGAAAAAATTAAGTTGAACGTAATTGATCATCCATTAACAATCTTTTCATGCTTTCATGTATTAAAGTTCAACGGTCAGCATCTATTCTAGCACTCACACTGTTGAAATCTTACCTTATTCCTTTACTCACTAAAGAGAAAAAAATTTTAGAAATACTCGACCTACGTGTTCTGGGTAAAGACCTAAGAGTGGGGGAATCTTGCATTTGCCTATTGTCAACGTCAGAGTAGGATGAGCAGAACAGGTAAGGTAACCCAAGGGTATTAAAGTTCCTCTGGAGCCAGATCTTCAAATTCTGGCTTTTATTATTTTGCAAATAATTTTCCATGCCAGAACTACCCATACAAATAAATTGGAAAGTTTTCAAAATAAAAATATTAGTGTGTCATGGTAGATTATTCCTAACCTTAAATAAAAGGGTTAATCACCAATGGTTGACATAAATGACAGACGCAAGAACAACGTAAGGCTAGTGTAAGGCATAAAAATATATTTTAACCTTTAGCCATCAATACGAGCATTTTCTTTAAACTTATGATCATATAAATAGGTCTGGAATAAGAAACTGAAGAATGCTTTGAGAAACCTAAAGACAACTGTGACCTCCATGGCTGACCAAGTCTAAAGCCTTACCTGAGAGACCCAAAGCTGACTGTCAGCCCTTTCACTCCTACCCCATTTAGGTTGGTAAGAGATTCCAGCTTGAGGAGGGAGGAATCGCCTCTGACAACTTGTCTTCAGCCCCTATGACTCCCCATAATTCCAGGAGATGAAAACCAAAATTATTCATCCTCTAAATTAATATTATGGCTCTAATGCTAAAGGACAGCGCCAAGTTCTTTGTACAGGCTCCAAACAAAACAAAACACAAAACACACACACACAAAGTAAAAAGCTTCCTGATTTTAAAAAAGGGTTAAGATAGAAGAGAAACTAGACTATTCTTTTAAAAGTTTCATCGTGCTATTTTAACTTCTGTCCTTCATTATTTTTAACACTGCTTTTTAATGCTAAAGATAACCTGAATACAGTTTTAAAAAGATTAAACTTGTGAAAACAAAAATTCAGGGAAATTCCGGAGTTGATTTATTTACAAGTTTTTACGGGGGCGGGGGGATTCTTGATTTCAATTTTAAGTTTTACATCAAAGATTTACCATCCATCAAATTAGTACTGGAAAGCACGTAATACCTTTTTGTGAAAGGAGCTAGGTAATATCCTATTTGAAATTATGACTGTCTTCTCTAGGCACAAATTTATTAAAAATTTACCAAAGTACCAGTAACACAATTGTGTTGGCAATATAAAAATAGTATTAGCTGTCTTTAAACCAAATTTACAAAATAAATGTTTGGCTCAAAAATTATAGTCTAAGCTCTCAACATGTTAGACTTACCCATACTTTCTAAATTTTAGGTATAAAACTGTTAGTACATTCAAGTGTGATAGAGAACCTAAGTATATAGAGAGAACTAGAAAATACAGGAATAATAAAGATCAAAAACAAGGCAAAGACCCACTGGTCCATGACAAAAAGTCCATGGTGGTACCAGAAACTAAATATAAAAGTGTGAAGTTAAAAGTGCTGTGCTCTAGTCACAATAGGTAACCACTCTTTCCTTTCTAAAACTGAGCATTTTCAGCACAGTTTAAAGTAGCAGGAGTTAGTTACTTTTTTTTTTTTTTTTTTTTTTGGTTTACAAAGGAACACATCTGCCTGAACTAATCTGATGAAAAACCATAATCCATTTCTTCCCATTAGCTTTTGACTAAATACCGAAGCTAATTAATGCTAGCTTTTTTGGGTTCTCACGGCAACATGGAATTTTAAAGAACACATTTAGTTCCACCACTTTATGCAAGACTGGGCAGTTTCAAAACATCTAAGTGCTAAGATGTTAGCACCACACAGATACAGAAGGCTACATAAATTTTCTTTACATGGCTAATTAAGACCTTTTGATTTACGGAGACAGATAACACGGATCTAATAGGGGCAGATAGGCATACTGTGAATGTCCTGTCCTGAATTCCCACTGCTTCTGCTCTAAATGCACTTTTAATCACACTATTGGTTGGTATCGATAGCTTTTCAACATCCTTGCATCTTTAGTATTTAAAATAATTTCCTCGGACAACTGTAATCTGCCCTAACTGGCAGCTTCATAGGAATTTAGGGGCATGAAATGTGTCAATGACACTGTTTTAAATGTAAGGAAAACATGAACATAGAGATTTGGGGTTAATTTACCTATGGGTTCTGTTTGGATATTTTTAAGGAGGATGGGAGATGAAGAGGTGAGGGAAACTGATGAGAAACTAAGCTTTTTATCCACTTTCCTCGTTTGGTATCCCTGACAGGATTTCATGGAGAAGGGAATCTCCTAGACAGAGTTGACGGAGGGCATAAAATCCACTCCTCCAAGTCTGGGCTTCTATGCCTTGAGGGAGGGTCCCAACGCAGAAAAGCTGATGGGCTGGAAGGAAGCTATCTGCACAAGAGGATGAAGGCACCTCTGTGGGTCTAGGGCAAACTGAAAGGGACCCAAATCCACTTTAACTTGCTCAATTACAGCTTAACCAAATTCATCTGGTCTTATACTAGAGTCACAAATCCTCTAACAATCAAGCTGCCTCCATTCTGCAGCTACTCAAGCTAAACACCTCTTCGCCAACTCAAAATTCTGTTTACTCTCTGAAAATGGGAGGAGAACGCTTCCTCTTCTGATTACCTACCCAATGGCAAAACACAAAATGTATTTTCACGGAGACTCTGAATTTTTTTTAAATGCCAAAACACTACTTCCACTTTATAATGCATTTCAGAAATCGGAAGCAAGAGGACTTGGGAAGAAGTGCTTCTTAATACGTTTCCTACAGCTCTTGAATCGTGCTAAAAATCCAGGCTGGCAGAGTTTCACACAGGACACTAGCTGTGGAAGGAAGCTTGTCCACAAAGAGCCTTGGGGACTGGTGACAGGTGACAGGGAGGAAGTTCTGGCTTCAAGTCCTGACTTGGTCACTAACTGATTCTGGAGCTTTGGGCTCCTCAAATGTCATCTTTAAACTGACACTCTTAAATGACCTCCCAGGTCCCCCTCAGCTTTAAGCCGGGGAAGTAGCCTTATGCTCCAGGTGCCACCTTGTAAATCACAAGCACTAAATGATGGAAGGCTTATCAAAGTCCACGTTTGTCTTGGATTAAAGTTCGTCATCTCTGTGCCGCGTGGAGGCCAACCTGTTGCATCCCATAAAATACTCTTTTTTTTTTTTTTCCTGACTACACGAGAAATGCAAGAGACAGGAGGTCTGGCTTTCTGAATTTTTTATTTTTTGAGAATGCCAACAACAGTGAGCCCCCTTCTGATAGGAAGTTCTCAAGTTTCACCTCTCTAATGTGTAAGTGCACACAGGATGTCACCTGGCAGGATGAGGCCACGTGACCCAAGGCCGGGGCGTGCTGGCTTGCTGTTAGCACCTTTCTATCCTGCGTGATTAATTAATGCTTTGCCTCTGCACTCAACCTTCCCCTTCCAGGCGCGTCCAAGCCTTCACAGGGGGCGGTTTGGGACCGTCACTGCCAACGTCCTCAGGGGCGATTCGGCGCGCAGCGGCCCGCGAAGGCGGAGGTCTGCGCAGCGCCTCACCTGCCCACGTACTTACTACCTGCTCTCGCGGTTCACGCTTACCAGGGCACGCAGGTTAAAGCATGGGGGTCCGACCTCAGCTCGTAACTGGCCACATCTACTATGATAGTTGGGGGGGGGGAGGGGAAAAAAAAGGAAAAGGAAGAAGGAGCCTTTGCCACTGCACCTGGAGGAAGCGCAACACCTACCTCCGCGGCCCCAGACACCGCAACGCTAGTCTTTGGAGTTTCAAAGGTTTGCCTTTCCCTCCCGGAAAGGCGGGTTTGCGGCACGGGGCACTCACCTCCCGGATCTTTGCCCTCTTGTCGCGGACCGCGGCGTCCGCCGGCTCCCGGGCCACCGCCCCGACCGGGGGCACGAAGTCCAGCGGCGGCAGCCGCCTCGCCAGCGCCTTGTCGCGCAGCTGGTCCTGGGCCACCTTCTCCTTCTCCAGCAGGATGTCCCTCTGGATCTCCTCGGGCAGCTTCTGCAGGGTCTCCTTGGCTTCCCGGAGAGCCCGCTCGTGGTTCTCGCGGATCCGGGCCAAGTTGTCCTCCAGGGCGGCCGCGGGGTCCCCGTCGCCGCGCCGGGCTCGCCCCTCCGCCTCCGCGTCCTCGGCGCGCGCCCCGGGCCCGGGCTTGCGGTCGGCGGCCGGCGGCAGGGCGGGGCTGGAGTGGAACAGGACCCCGCTCAGCAGCTTGGACGAGTCCGGCAGGAAGAAGATCGCCCCGAAGCAGAGCGTGATGAAGGCGCTGAACACCAGCAGCAGCACGAACTTCTCCGTCAGGCGGAAGGCGGCGGGGCCCGAGCCCTTCCTGCCGCCGCCGCCGCCGCCGAGCCCGCCGCCGAGCCCGCCGCCGAGCCCCCCGCCCAGGCCGCCGCCCGCGGGGCCGCCGAAGAGCGGCAGCAGCCCGCCCACCGGCATCCCCGCAGCCGCCGGGGCGCCCGCGCCGCTCAGCAGCCAAACTTCGGCGCCGCGCGGCGTCAGCGGCCGCGGGGCTGCGTCCTGCGCATCCAGGCCGCCCGAGCCCCCGCGCTGCGCCGCAGGTACGCCCCGGGGGAGCGGCTCTTCTCCGGGTCTCCGCCCAGGGGCAGCTCCTCCGGCGAGCAGGCAGGCGCGGCACACGGCCGGCCGCGGCCCCTGCGGGGACACAAACGGAGAAATGTCATCGCGAGCGGGGCCCGTAAAGTTTCCCGCGGGTCCCCGCCCTCCCGCGGCCGCGCCGGCTCTCCCGGGCCCCGCCCTCCGAGCTCACTCTTTGGACTTGGGGTGAAGTTTCCGGGCCCCGGGGCGCGGGGGTGTCCTGCGCGCACCTGGAGCCGCGCCTCCGCGGGAGAGCAGCGCGCCTCCGGGGCAGGAGGGGCGCACGCGGGTCCCGGGGAGGGGAGGCTGCTCAACTTCGCCCGCCCCGCATGTCGGAGCTGGGGACCGGCTCGGCCGCGGCTTCCCGGGCAGCCCCGCAGCCCCGCAGCCCCGCGGCCCCGCGGCCCCGCCGGCCGCTGCGCCCGGGCTAGCGCGCCGACCCGCGGGCAGTGGCAGCGAGCCGGGCCGCACGCCGCCCTCCGCCGCCGCCCCGCGCGCACTGGGAGCGCCGCCGGCCGCCGGGCGTCGGGAGACGGGGGCGGAGACGCGGCCGGAGAGTGACGGCGCGCCCCGGCCAATCGCGCGCCGCTCGGGGGCCCGCGGGGGCGGGGCCGAGGCGGGGAGGGGGCCGCGCGGGGGGGGCGGGGGCGGGGGCGGGGAGCTGACGGGAAGCGCAGCCCCCGCGGGGCCCGGGCCGGGGGGCGGGGAGGCCGTGCAGGCGCGCGGGGCCCGGCGAGGCTGGCGGTGCTGCAGCGTGTCCCGCGCGGCCCGCGACCCCGGGGCAGGGGGCGCTCGTTGGCCTTGGCGGGCCGCGGAGGCGTCCTCCTCCCCGCACCCGCACCCCCTCCCCACCCGTCCCCGCCCCTCCCCGTCCCCGGGGGCCCGCGGGAGCCTCCGGCGCCCGGTCGCTCCGAACGTGTGTCTTCTCCCGCGCCTTCCCGCCTGTTACCCAGGGCGGGGGTTCCCCGGGGGCCCGGCAGCGGTCCGAGCAAAAGTCCCCCGTCGAGAAGCTGCGAGGCGAGAGCATCTGAGCTCTCCGGGCTGACATCCTTTTATGCCCTAAGATACTCATCGTTATGTGGTTGCTTAGGATGCTTCCTCTGCATCCTCTCCCCACCCACTTGAAGAAAAAAAAAAAAAAGTTGTGTACCTCCCCCACCCACTCCCACTTTCAAAATTCACTTATCTCCCAGAGGTTGGTCAAATTTTCCATTTGAAGGAGGCAGCTTTATGCCCATAGCTTCGAGTGATACATTTGAACCCTGTGCTGAAATGAAGTCTTTGGGTGTGATTACTTCCAGGGAAGTAAAGGACCCGGTCCAGCAGAGATGGTTTTCAAGACAGCATTATTTTCCAAAATGTGGTTGTGATTTTTTTTTTCCCCGTTACTCTGCGAAAGAAGGGTTATCAGGAAAAAGTTGACTACTGACTTCTCGTTTCTGAAAGCTGGTCTGTTAGAAGTCGTCTATGCCTCCTCCTCCTCCTCCTCCCCCCCCCCCCCCAACCTTCTCTGGAAACGTTGATTTTTAGCTCTGTGTCTGCTTGCCATTTTTAAAACAAAGGAAGCAGCTGGCAGTTTCCAGGACGGTGCCTCCGGTACGGTTGTTTCAGGTGTAGACTGTGCGAGAAGATGCAAAATTAAATCAGAAGTCATTATTACAGTTTTCACTTAAATCGTCATTGTTTGTTGTGCATCTGTTTTGTGTAAGAGGACTTACACCTCCAACGTTTCTGGTAAAGGGAGATTGTTTGAGGAGACTGGTCTTAGGGCTCGGTTATTCTGATAACTGCTATGAAATTCTCTGCCCAGAAGAGTGCAGCATATCCAAGCAGGGTAACAAAGTTTAGAAGGACCAAAAAGGAAAACGATTTTTAAAAAATTAAATGGTAATTTTCTTTTTTCCCAAACTACATTTGCAAGTTGTGGATAGGCTGAAAAGTCTGAATCGGTGTGAAATAATAGTGTTAACTTTCAACAGCTTTAAAATTCAGTTACCTCATGGCTAGTTAGGTAATAATTAGGGTTAATGCCCTAAAAGGTAATCCCTTTATGATCGTCTTTCCCCTAATGACTTATTACTTTAATTATTATGTTTTAGGAATGGAATTATTTCTTACACCCACAGAAATATTTTACAACTTTAATTTAAAAATAGTATACTACGTATTCCAGAAAGGCAATAAAAACTACTTTTAAGCCAATGTTAAAAGGGTGATGAAAGGGGTTGGGGGTATAGACCTAGTTCTACTTCCGGCACTCTTGAATTTTGATACCAGACCAGTGTGGACATTTAACCCAACATCTGTAGTGGAAATATTAAAAATCTAGCATATAGTCTTAAAGACAATTTTTCCCCTTAAAAACTTCAAATTGGATTTATCTATAGTTTTTACATCTTTTAAAGTAACTGCTGTTTCTTTCTGCTCCCATTTATGAAGGTTACTTTAAGATTACTTTATTAATACTTATGTTTCTTATAAAACAGAGATTTAATGTGAGTGAAGCCTGGTTTTAATGATTTGTTAAACAAGAGAATAGCATGGGTGGCTGATTATAGGATATATTTTACATGGGGACAGTCGTCTGTGTTAGGTAGGATGAGAAATATGTGGGAGTGCTCATATATGGACTACAGTAAATTAAATAATAATAATAATAATAAGAGAAAAGGTATTTAAAGAGACATACCAACTAAATTAACCATGTAAAAACTTGTAAAATAATCACACAATATCCTGTATATTCATGGTAGAGGAGGAATACCGGATGGTCAATAAATTAAAAATTGCACTTTGTTGAAGTGAAATCTGACACTTTGCCCTGATTTTAATACCATAAGCACTTCTCGTTCCACAGATGGGAAAATGATGTTTTATATCTTGAGATAAAGCAAAAGTACAGGTGACCATTCTGGTCCCCAAATAATAAACCTTGACTGTGTCCCATAAATCCATATTCACCCACCACATCTACTTGAAGATATGTCATGATCTTTGTGAATACAATGATGGTGACAGAGCTGCTGTTTTTTCATTACGAATAATCCAATGCAAATTTAGCAACTTTAGTAGTTCTGTGTGGTTTTTCTGTTTAAATACTTGCTGTGTCTTCTAAGTTGGCCAGCTAGTCCTGACGTATGACTTCCTTGCACCTTTTGCAAGTTTGCCTGCAAACCTAATTCTTACTTTTTTCTTTCCCAATGCTTACATCTCTGTATCTTTTTTTCAGAATTTGTGAATTTTTGTGTTTCAAGATAAAATCTTTTTTTTTTATTTATGATAGAGAGAGAGAGAGAGAGAGAGAGAGAGGCGCAGAGACATAGGCAGAGGGAGAAGCAGGCTCCATGCACCGGGAGCCCGATGTGGGATTCGATCCTGGGTCTCCAGGATCACGCCCTGGTCCAAAGGCAGGCGCCAAACCGCTGCGCCACCAAGGATCCCTCAAGATAAAATCTTTAGTCAACTAAGTTTTTTAAAGCTGGTTTTGGTTAGAGATATCCAACCAAAAATTCCCAAGTCATTTGGTTGCTTGGACTTCTGTGCTTTTAAAATAATATTTCATTTATCTTTTATATTAACATGCTGAAAATTAAATATAGTAATAATTAGATGAGATCGGGCGCGTTCAGGGTGGTATGGCCATGGACTAAATACAATAATAATTATAAACAGAGTTACGGGTGTGGGGGAAGTGACAGTGTTTTTATAAAAAGTACGGTGAATGAATATTTTTATAAAGTTGTAAATTCCAAAAAATTAAAGTGCAAAAATATTTCTTAATAGGAAGTTTTCTAGAAGGTCTTAGGTAGAAGTTTTCAGAAGAATACTTTTGAGAATTTTTCTTTTACTTTAAAATAAAGACTAGTATAACTAAAGAAACACAATTAACATACACGTGTAACTACTGAAATTGCCCGATGCATCAGATTTCTGATAACATTTTCCTGTTGCTGATTTTGTCTTCAAATTTCAGATCAGAATAGGTTTTGGCCTTTATTTTAAAAAAATGTAAAAAAAATTTAAAGAAATGTAATATGTAAAAAAGAAATAGTTCTCCCCCCCCCCCCAATGGGCAACTCTGAATTTTACATGAAGTTTATTAAGATAGGAATTAACCAAAGTTACTAAATAAACTATCAGTAATATTTGTGGTCATTTCACGAGCTATAGTTACATCTCTGGTTCTTTTCTCCCATTCCTCGATTTACTTTGGAGCTGGCTGTATAATAGATTATTTTTATAGGACTCCAATCATCTTTGTGTATGTGTGGGAGGGGGCGGTAAGAGGCTGAATCAGTGAGACCCCTCTGTCCCTACATGTCCCTGTTAAAACATTTGTTTTTGTTTTAAACACTCATTTCATAAATATGAGCAGTCCCCAACTTAAAAACATTGTGTTCCACTGAGTATTTGTACATTAGCTCTTTGGAACTTTCAGAGTGCTCCTCTCCATAGAAACAAAGTTATAAATGGTGCTTTTGGGTTGTAGTCTACTCTACAAAGATCTAATACTCTAGGGAATAAAAAAATGTTGGAAAAACACTGTTGCAATGCTAGTAGTAATCAAAGTAGCATTAAATTAGAAAGTGTTTTATTTATCTTGAATGTTGGAGCCTAAGGACAAACATTTATTTGAAAGAAAAGGAGATAGAATGATTATTTCAGAAAGATTCTAAACCTGCTTTCAAGGTCAGAAAGGTTCATGGCAGTTCTTAGGTATAGTTTTCCTTCATTACATAAAGCTTTCTTTTGGTTTCAAGTCTATCACTAGAATTACTTTTAGGATGTTTTTGCTTTGTTTTGCTTTGACTTGATTAACAAAAGGACTAAAAGAGAGAAGTACAAGGAGAGATTTTTCTGAGTGAAGTGGGCAAAAGTTTGAATGAGAGAGTGATTTATTATAGAGGACATGCATGTCCTTGGCTGTGTGACCATGGGTGATAAGTCACTGACCTTCTACATCTCCCATTCTTCATCTGTAGCATTGCTATGGCTCTTAGATTAAATGATGTAACTGATGTGTCTGGCACAATAGGCATTCGAGAAATTTAATTCAATTTTTCTCCTTTCCTAAAAAGGGACTTAGTGTCTGGTGTAGTCAAAGAACCGTGTCTAGAGGATTCTTAAAAGGAAGAACCAGAAAAGTGTGGTAAGCAAGAAATTTAGGATTATGTGGTTCCTCACATGGTTGTCACTTACCAACTTCTGTACTCTGTTTAAGTAAAATCCATGAGAAAAGTCAGAGGAACAGCCTCAGATTTGGTAGGCAGAGAGTCCTACAAGTGTCTCCAATCTTTATATAAATAGGACCCAAAAGTTTGCCAACTAACCGACTTGATAGTCCTTTAAGCCTTTAGAAAATGTGAACGATGG